AGCAAATCAACTAGAGTCGGCCTGATCGCAGTTAGATTGACGATCGTCCTAATTGATCGAGCACTTCCAGATTTTGATCAAGCACCTCAGACTCGGTAAAATCATGAAGAATAGAGTTTTCAACAGAGTTTCAAGGAATAGGAAACTATCACTTACAAAGAGAAAGCGAGCAAGAATGTTCCCGGATTTTTCGAAAATCCGCGAATATATACGCATGAAATTCTTCAAATATAAGAGGAGTTTGAGCAAAACTTACATGGATTGGTGAATTAGAGATGAAGATATTTATTAATTTGCAAAAGATTTTAGCAGATTTGGTTGAAAGGAAACGACCAAGTTGAAGGTTCAGAGCGAAACCGAGCAACGAAAAACAGCAGCAGCGAAAATGGAGAAGAAAGGAGTTCAAAAACTCGACTCTGTCGCCAAACGAAAATATTGTTGTCTGACGCCGGTCTTTGTCGCCTGGAGACAGAGCTAGTTCCCGGCGACTGTGCGTTCTAGCATGCGATAATGCAACGACGGAATGCGTGGCCCTCATAAATGACTATGTGGACCTTGTGCAGCAGTTTCGGGTTCCTTAGTACGCCAGTTAGTCCCTATAAGCAATCTGACATGATTAAGTAATCGGCTCGTTACAATCACAGTATGTGATCGACCTGATAAAAGATTGTCTCACTTAGCTTAAAGCGCCTAAATATTGGATCATCGCAAAGGCACCGACATAATGGTTAACAAGCAACAGGATGCACCGACATAATGGTTCATAAGCAGCAGAAAGCACTGACATAATGGTTCACAAACAGCAAAACGCGTCGATGTATTGGCACCGCGGAAATTTCAGCAAGTATCACATTAGCAAAGTTCAAGCTAGCTTTAAGGATCGACAAGCGTTGGTCTTTGGTAATTTTCTTCGGATTATTATCGCAACGACTAAGGATGACTTCAAGCGAAGTTATCTTCGACAGCGTTCCCTAGGATGTGGAAATTTGTCGGGAAAATGAGGATGATTTCAAGCGAAGTTATCTTCGACGACGTTCGCTAAGATTGAGGAGGTTGTCACCTAGATTTGAGAAGATAGCACAAGATGGGCAGTCTTCGACAACGTTCGCTAAGATTGAGGAGGTTGTCACCTAAATTTGAGAAGATAGCACGAGATGGGCGGTCTTTGACAGCATTCACTAAGATTGTGGAGGTTGACATCTAGATTTTAGAAGAACAGTTTGTGATGAGGCGATCTTTGACGACATTCGCTATGATTGGGAAATTTGTCACCATGATTCAAGAAAAAAGCTCAAGATGTAGCAGCATTGATCGAAAAAGTTCCCTAGCTTGTGGAGAGTTGTCACAAACAACTAAGAATGACTTCAAGCGAAGTGATCTTCGACGGCGTTCCCTAGGATGTGGAAAGTTTTCAAAAGTAAGAGGTGATTTCAAGTGAAGTTATCTTTGATCTTGTTCCCTAGATTGCGGAAGATGGTCACAAAACGGTAGAAGGTCATTTCAAGTAGAGCAATCTTCGATAGTGTTCCCTAGCTTGCGGAAGATTATCACATCGGAAATTGAAGGCAGCTGCAAGTAGGGGTGTTCAAAAATATCCGGTCCGAAATATCCAATCCGAAAATCCTATGATTCGATACGAAATTTCGAATATCCGATCCGGTTTTTAAGGTTTTGGATCGGATATCCGAAATTTTTTTTGGATATTTGGATCGGATACGGATAGGATTTTGTCCGAAAATTTTAACTACCCGATCCAAAAACCCGACCATACGATCCGAATATCCGACTATCCGATCCAAAAATCCGAATATCCGAAAATTTCATATCGCAATTTCTCCGATCCGAAAATTTTGGATATCCGAATTTTCGGATCGAATCGGATCGGATATCCGAAATTGAACAGCCCTAGCTGCAAGCGTGGTAGTCTTCAGGCGGTATCCCCTAGCTTGAGGAAGATCGTCAAACAAATCAATTACTCCAGAGACCTGTGCTCGACAGTGCAAGATACGAGTTTCTTAACTCTTTTATCTATTTTAATTAACGCTATTTTGCAGGTACTGGCGTTGCAAGAATGATTTAGGATCGCAGAACGTTCTGAATCATTCTCCATCCCTATTGTTACTTTGACTTTTGTTTTCGAAACATGAGTTTCTCCAAACTCAGTCAAAGTGGGGGCTTTTGTAGACACCAATATGTGTCTCCTCAAAACCAAACTAAGTGATGAATACCTTCCATGTCATTTGATTATCAAACAAAGCGAAAGTGATTAAAAGTCTAGTGATGATGATGTTTTTATTAAAAATCTCTCTTTTTGTTTTCAAAAACCTACCCTATTTATGGAAAACGTGAATTCCATTTTTTTTTGGTCCATAATATGGGTCCAATAATAGTGTAGTTTGATGGGGCTTGAAAAAACCTTTCCAACGATATATTATAAGCCCAATTTCGATGAATTGTGAGGAAGTTATGGCCAAAATACTAAACTAGGCTCAAACCGGATTTTACCTACGGCCCAATGATCATGTGGTGGGTCCAAAGGTTTAATCCTATTTCTAAACTAATAAGGATTAATTTAGGATTAATTAGAAGCTTTTATGAGTTTCTAAAAGATCTTAATTATCCTTTTTGAAAAGATAAAATCAAAGAGTTTGAAGTTGAATAAAACTTTCCTTTTTTTTTAAATCCTAATTTATTCGAATTTAAAGATGTTCAAAGAAAGTCGGATATTATTTTTTTGCCTGATAATATTTATCCAAATATTATATGGTTGGATAGATCTTGAAATTATCTTTCCAATGATATATTATAATATTAATTCCGAGCTATAACGAAAAAGATATGAATGAAATACAAAACTCTATCCGAAACTAACAGCCTTCCACCATTTCGGCCATCTCTTTTATCTAAATAAGATTTTGATCTGATTCCAATTTGGTTGGAAAATAGACTTCAAGAGCTTTCTAACGACATATTATATGACTTATTTGGACTTCTAGATCAAAAGATATGACAAAACCAAAATCTGCAAAAACGTTATCCCATCGCCAAACGACAAATCTGTCGCCAGGCGACCGCCTAGCGACGAGCTTGTCGTCTGGCACTGACTCCTGTTGTTGGCGACAGGAGGTCTTTTATTACAAATAGGACTCGAACTCTTTTCTATTGTTCCCGTGCTATTTTTTCTATAAATAGGGGTCGTATCTCCCTGTTTTCAAATCATCAACACCCATAATTACCTTCTCTCTCTCTCTAAAAAGCTAGAAGCTTTCTCTCTCTCTCTCTCTCTCTCTCTTCTTTTTCTAAACCCTCCCTCTCTAAAAATTCCTCATTCATTAGCTCTAGACACACCTAGCCAAGTTCGAATTTGCCTTCGCCCTAGATGTGAAAGGTTTTATATTTCTAAGGGTTTCCCAAATCTCTATTTCAGTTATATAATTTAATTGTTTGATTTATATTTTCCTTGAAGTTACTAACATGTTTATTTTGTTATTAGAAAGAGGAACGAGGAATCGAAGTAAGTAATTTAGTTGTTTTTATTGATCTTTTGATATAGAAATCATGTTAGGGTGTTTTGCTTCCTAGTATCATGTTTAGGGTAATAACTAAAAATTCAAATATCAACTATGTTTATTATGATGCTTCCTATTTCTTTCCTAATGTCATTTTACTATCATGTTAGGGCTAAATCTTTGATTTGTAGTGTTTAGTGACATGCTAGGGTTTGTTATTAATCTTGTTAGTATCAAGCCTAGGATCTTGCTGTTATTATCCTTTAACATGATTATGATTATTATTATTATGATGATGATTATAGTTATTATGATGATGATTTATTTATATTCATGTTGCTTGATATTATATATTATTATTGTTATTGCTTGATCACACCTTTTATGCATGTTTAAAGGGAATTTGTACTTGTAACCACGCTTAATAAGATAATAAATAATCTTGTTTAGGGCTAATATGATTACAATTCAAGTGATCTCCAATAATAATCTTGTAACCACGCTTAATAAGATAATGTTCAACCAACATAGATTAAACAGGTTTAGGGTTAACTTATTGATTGCATGTTAGTTAGAAAGCGCACATGAATACAAGAAGAATAAAGTAGAGGTCTATTATTAGGACAAATTCAATCTCTTTTAGGTTGGATTTGTACCTTCATCCCCGAACTTCCATTCATGGTTCCAGACCTATTAGAGTTAACGATCTCCTGGGTCGTTAAGGGGTGTAACCTTCACTCTGTGAACGGTTTACAAGTTCCTAAAACTTGTTGGCGACTCTTTTACTCTAACTTCCTTCCCTTTGGATGCCACCATGCTTACGTGTATGATCACAATGGGGCTCAAGTGTGGGATACTTGAAATATTCCCTACACTTACTATATGCACTTTTGGAATCTTATGCTAGATTTTGTTTGTTAGAACTTATTCCAAAATGGATCTTTAAGCCATAATTCATATATATCTTATTTTGTAAGTGTACAACAAAAAGAAATAGGAAATGTTGTATGCATCGCCAAACCGTATATATTTTTATGTTTTAGAGATAAAATGTATGGGTGTTTGGGATTACTTTTGCTACTTTTGTTGGATGATTAAAATTCATCCTCGTGTACATTTAAATCTTATATATATATATATCATATTAATATTAGTTATGTTATATAATTGATTTTGAAATTAAACTTGTTTATTTGTAGGTATGGATTATGATATGCAACTTAAGATGCTCTTGTTATGCAAAGAGTACTTAGATGAGGAGGATAATTTTTGAGATTTGATTACTTGCAACGCATGTTATATTACAAATTATTATTTGAACCATATAAGGAACCTTGTATGACCTCGTATTTAACCGGCCAAATGTGGATGATTAAGTTACTTAACGGTCATGAAACACGTTTTTTTAATGCTCTTATGATGTACCCTCCTTTATTTATGGAATTATCCACAAATTTAGAAAGCATGTATGGTTTAAAACCATCGTATAGAATGTCAATTATAGAAAAAGTGGGCATATTTGTGTATGTCCTTGCACATGGTGCCACAAATAGATTAACTCAAGAACGTTTTCAACACTCTGGCAAAACAGTGAGTCAAGTATTCAAAGAAGTTTTATATGCTATGGATGGAATATCAAGGGATATACTTATACCTAGAGATCCTAATTTTAAGGAGGTGCCACGACAATTAGAAAATGATGCTAGATACCTGCCATATTTCAAGGTAATACATTTTTCCTTTTGTTAAAAGAAAAAAAAAATATTTACAAGTTTCGTGAAATAATTTAATAATATTGTTTCATTTTAGGATTGTATTGGAGCTATGGATGGTACACATATATCAATAATTGTTCCAGAAGAAGACCAATTGCGTTATAGAGGAAGAAAAGGCATACCAACTACAAACGTTTTAGCTGTATGTGACGTTGATTTGTTGTTTACGTGCGTGTTAACGGGATGGGAAGGTTCAGCTCATGATTCACGAATATTTCTTGATACAATTGGTGATCCAAGACTTTAGTTTCCAAAACCCCAGGAAGCTATTATACATTATTATTCCTAATTCCCCAAAAATTTTAATGAATGTTAAAGCTATTTTTTTTTGTTATTAACTTTCTTTTAGGTAAATATTATGTTGTTGACAAAAGCTATCCGAAAAGAATGGGGTATTTGACTCCTTACCCTAAGACGAGGTACCATCAATCTAAATTTCGAAATGCAAGTCCAAGGGGTACCAAAGTAGTTTTTAATCGTGCTCATTCGTCAATATGAAGTTGCATTGAACGGACATTTGGTGTTCTTAAATCCCAATGGAAGATCTTAGATAAAATGCCTAGATACTCATTCAAAGATCAAAACAGAATAATATGATCTTGCTTTGCATTACACAACTATATTAGACGAATTAGCGTTGGTGATCCAGCTTTTAGACTCGTCGATAAAGATCCTAACTTTGTACCTCCCGAGGGAGTTGAGGATATTGAAACTAATGTCCCTCAATGTGTTCAAGAATCATCAACTAGGGAGATGACAATTGTTCGTGACAACATTGATAATAGTTTGGTGGAAACTAGACGAGCTAAGCGAGCCAAAAGACAATATTAGATTATTAATATGCATTCTTATTATTTATTTTTTCCAAGTTACTACTCCGTACCTATGATTAATTATTCATTTGCATTATTGAAATTTTTTAACCATTATTTTACATGTGAGAATAATAATAATAATAATAATAATAATAAGTGATATAATCAACAAAATAATAAGACGTGTGTTAGTAGTACTAGTAAATAATAATCCTATTTACAAAAAAAAAATATATTATTTTTTTATAAAAAAAACGGAGTAGCAGTGATACTACTTGGTAGTAGAAGTTAAAAAAATAAATTCATTATTATTATTAGAAAGATAATAAAACATATCAATGCCCTTAAAGGTAATCTTAGCCCCAAACAGCCAACATCCAATAACCAATTTTACCAAACATATTTTTAAAAAGCCAACAGTCAAACAGCCAACATAAAAAGCCAATACATACAGCTGGTCAAACAAAACAAGAGTAACAGCCAACCTCCAACAGCCAATAGCCAATTGCCAAACAAGGCCTTAGTCTAATCTCTAAAAGGAATCAAGTTTGTTATAGTTTGTTATACAAGCTGTAGTTGACAGCTGCTAACTATGCTAGGTGGCTGGATTTCTTCTAGAAAGATTCCAAGCCGTTATTCTCTTTGTAATAAAGCTTATTTTTGTCTTATTGTAATATATGTTTCAGGTGAAAAACATGGATCTTGCTGAGGGTCCTTTGCAGTAGGTTGAAGACTGGGCTCGGTCCAAGTGATGCTGGGCCGAGGATTTCCTGCACAACAAACATAGCCTCGAGGGTTATGCCGAGGAAGACCCCTCCGATGCCGAAGTCATTACAATGTGTAAAGAGAAAGCTATGCAAGAGAATTAATTGCTTGAGGCTCTATGTGAATGAATGTAAAATGGTGTAATTGATGGCTTTTATACCTTTACTTAATAGGAGAATTGAGGCTAGAGCCAAATAGGCTTTCCATGTTGACTAAACCTTGACTTGACTTTGACTTGGCATGGATTGGAGAGTTGAACCTTTGATCTTGGGCTTGCAATTGAATCATTTATGGACCAGGCCCAATTTAGACTAAATTGGACCCAAACAAATTGCCCCCTAGACCCGATTTGGAGGTATGACATGTCGGGTTTTTATTGACAAAAAGGAGGGAAGTAAACGATCTAATAAATCAAAAAAATTTGAATTTAAACCGTAATTAATGACATAACGGCGGTTTAGAAGATAATGAAGGAAGTTGAACGGACATTGGGCAGTTAATTTGGAGGGAAAGTGTTTGATGGTTACTTAATGGAAAATTAATGAGAAATTAGAGGCACAGACTCCTAGAATTCCCTTTTCTGGCAATATACATTGCACTTCGCATTCTCTCTCTTCATTTCTTCACCACAATCACTCTTTAACTTGAAGAAAAACCCTTGATTTTGATTTGAAACTTCACTGAATCCCCGAATTAAGGCTTTGAAACCGAAATTTGTTGCTCCAAACTGTACTGCTGATCGGCAAATTCTGCTTCAGATTAAGGTAATTTTCTTCGAATTTTCTTCAATTTTTCTTGATTTTCAAAGTACCCCTCTTTTTTTGACTTTTCTTCTCGAATCTCTGCCATGGCTTGAGTCGGGAACGACACCCAAGATATAGAATCAGGCAGACTGGGGAAGGCTCCCAATTTGGCAGAGAAGAAGGGATCGTCGTCGTCCCGCTGAACATGGCGCCTCCCCGAGAGACGGGGGAGGCTGGTACCTCTAGGGGGTGGCGGCACCTCGAGGGACAAAGGAGGCGAGTAACTCCGGCCAATAGAAGGAGGTAGCCGTTGCGGTCTTGGATTTACCCCACGGGGATGCTGAATGGGGGAGTCATGAGGATAATTGGGGTATGATGCAGTACCTCCCATACCCTTGGTGGACGAATAACGGAGAAGGTTATTGCTTTGCCAAACAAGTCGATATCTTTTATGGCATCCTGGAGGATGATGGGTACTAGTGTCGAATGCCTGCCCAAACTGACATGATCCATCTTCCACTCCCAGGCTATGTGGGGGTGTACACTCGACAATTGTAGTATGGGCTTCGGTTCCCCCTGCACCCCTTTGTTGTGGAGCTGCTGAGCAATTATAACGTCTCCTTATGCTAGCTAACACCTGTCAGCATCCGAAGGATAATGACCTATCTCTGGGTGTGCATGTTCTATCGTCTGCAGCCGAGCATCCACTGTTTTAAGAAGCTGCATCGGCTGGTGCCTAACACCCAAAGTAGGTACAATGAACACGGCCCTGGCTGGTGGAGAATTGAGAGCCTGCCTAGGTACCTAACCATGTGGCCAAACGATAGTTCTGATAAGGACTGGCAAGGCCAGTGGATCTGGGTTAGGGCCCCTTCAGACCCTAGGCATCTGAACGTCTTCAGGGTTCCCCGATACATGTCTCGGCCTGACCCCAGGATGCGGAACCTAAGGCCCAAAGCAGCTGGGGCTCAGGATGACGTGCAGCTGAACTACTTCGGGAAGATGGAGAATGAAGTTTGTGCCAGAGACCTGGCTGCCAGAATCCCATTACGTCTTTCAGGAGTGCATGCTCGCTGTTGTCGGCCTCATCCAAAAATATAAATACAGTAATTACCTTAAGTTAGGGCCGATGACTCACTTTAGTTGCTTTTAAATTCATTTCAGTGCTTTAGCATGTTTTTTGCTTTGCACTTATACTTTATTTTTTCCTTTCTTAGTTTTTCACGAGGGCAACGTCAGCATGAACTACCAGCGGCTTGGGATAAACGCTGGGAGGATTGTGACCAACAACCAGCCCCCCATCACTGATTCCAAGGATCGACCTCTGCACATTCACTCAAAGAATTTTGTTATTACCCAGTCCTTCGAGTATCTAAAGCAGAAGCCTTAGTGGCAAAAGGAGGATCCACTCTTCCGCTTAACCCCTGAAGAAGCTAAAGTTGCTGCTACCGCCGCTGAGGTATCTCGGGTAACTAAAGCCTTTGGAAGCGGAGAGGGGACTTCTGCTACTGCAGAGGTGCCGAAGGAGGATTCTGAAGACGCGAGGTTGCTGGAAACCACGGTAAGCTTTCTGACTTAGCTTTTTTTTTTTTTTTGGTGTCTCATGTCTTGCCTTCCTGTCCTCTTCTAAAGTAGGACGAGGAGGAAAAGGAGAGAAATTACCCTATAGGGGAGGATCAGCCAGAACAGGAGGAAGTTCGTCTTGAAGAGTAGGTCCCTTCAGACGAAGAAGGACTGATGTTAAACCGAAAGAGGACTGTCATCAACCCTGGGAGATTCTGGGAAGCGCCAATCCCGAAGAGGCCTCGGACTAAGGATGATACAATCCCTAATCCTTAAGAGGCTGACGGTCCTCCAAAGACTCCTCTCGCCGAAGGTGGCAACATTGAGAAGACTCCTCCCCTGCCTGAAGTTCATGGAGAGGAGGATGTTACCTAGCAGACCCCTGAGAAAACTGCTGAAGCTTAGGGTGTTCAAGACACTATACCTTCCCCTCGGCACGCGGCGACCTCTTTCTCAGCTGAAATTCAAATTAAGGCTGAGAAGCTAGGGTCTATAGCTGAGGGGGTGAAGGAAGATGACCCTGATGTGGAGGTCCTACCTGACGCTCCACGTATTTTAACTAAAAAGGGGCTTCGGGACGTTGCCAAAGAGCATAGGGCTGCTGATCAACGCAAGACTTATATGCCCTCCTCCTCTGCGGCTGGCTCCTTTGGGACCTTCCACTCTTCTGAGATGAGTTCAGGCACTTCTCCAACGGTGCCTTTGCCCCCACAGGCTCGGCGCGTGCTGGATGAATGGTGCCCCCATGCTCTCGTCTACTTTGGGAACCCTGCCAACAACTCAGAGTTGGACAAGATGAAATTTTGGACTTATAGAGCTGTTGTTGGGGCTCCAGAAGTTTCAGATAGGGTCCCTGACCCTTTTATCGACATCCAAAGACTTTTGATGCTGGTAACTTCTTCAACCTCCCTTCTCAGCCTTGATTAATTAATTTTTTAATAATAATTTTTTTTAACAACTCCCTTGATTTTCACAACTGTCACATAACCACCTGATTTCCATGGCCATGCACGACGAGCTGGAGATCAAGCTGGATGCGGCTGAGAAGAGGAAGGCTGAGGCTGAGGCTCAAGCTGATGGGATTGTCATTGCCTTCAACATCTTCTGCGACGAGATAGAGAAGGATGTTCTCCCTTCCTTTATCGAGGGAGAGAAATTGTTGAACGAGTATGGGGCAGTTGACATCCCTACTTTTTGAGCTCGAATTGAGCAAAAAGTTAAAGTTGAAGTCGACTCTCAGATGGCTAGCTAAGAAGCAGAGCTTAACAAAAGAATCAAAGCGCTGGAGGATGATGTAGGAGTTTATAGGTTCTACGCAGCGGAAATAATATGAATCATATTCATAAAGCACCTAAACTAAGAATCGCATGCATAACACACATAATCACACCTTTGATGCGTGAATTCCACGAAGCTATTCGACAGGAAAATCAGGGAGAGAATAGAGCCCCAAGAGTTGCTCCTCTACTTAATCCACGAGCTTCAAACGAGCTGTGCACCAATACTAGATTGGTCGAGTGATTGAAGAAAACCGCGATCACCACCTTTTTCGGGACAAGGACCGACCACCATAAATCACCACCACTACAAACCACCACAGGAGGCGCTGGGAAGGAGAGAGCCTTGAGAGAGAGGAGAGGAGAGTTTCAGAAGGGCTAGGTCTCGTTTTTGCTAATTAGGGTTTGATCACACTAATCAGTTAATTGCATACTTACAAACCCTAGGCACTTAGTCTATTTATAATCCTATTATAATTAGACTAGGGTTAAGAAGCCTAAAACTCTCTTATCAACTCCATACGGCCGACCACTATAGGGGATGAGGCCCATGATGGGCCTCGTCCTCTCGTGCTCAATCTAGGCCCTTTGTGTGACCTTATAGGATCCGTCCAATCGGGCTTTGGGCTATTTTACTAGTCGAAAGATCGGTAGTATCTCTAGCTATGGAAAAAATGACGACCCAAATGTACGAACTTAATTATCTCCATAATTTGATCCATTTATATATCTAGTAATTGCACACAACGAAGACATAACTCCTTCAATCTCTCACTTGTCTGAGACAAGGGTGTAATATTCAAATTCCTTAAGTCAATATATGTGTCAATTTGATAATATGATTACATCACATGTCGAGATCATATTAGTCTACAAATCATGTCTTGAAATTTAAGTTAGAATTACAAAACCAAATTATTATTGTGTAATGCATTTGAACGCAGCCACGTATTTTTTGAATTCTCCCTCTTCAAGCGGTCATGACACATTTCCTAATTTAATAGGTATACTCTATCCAATCTTGTGATAACAAGACTCCCACTCAACTTATAAAAATAACCAGGAAACACCCTTTATAATCTCTATTTAGGGCTAGACGTTTGAGTGTACCACATTCACAACATCCATTGAATGAAATCAATGCTCCACTCATGTCAAAGGAATCCACTAATATATACGGAAGCTCAATACTTGAACTTCAAAGTAGGTCAATAGTTCGATCATGCATCATTCATGCATATCCAAGTGATTGACCGAGCATCACTATGCCCTATAGCCCATGTGTAGTGAATAATTTCAAGCATCAATCCCTAGCTTGAACCGCACTGTGATCATACACTAAAGTACGGTGGCGTCCAAAAGGGAAGAAGATAGAGC